ATTTTGCCACCACCAAACATGGGTGTATACTTTCGTTTGCATGGCAGTTTAGATTGTAAAATTACCGAAAACACGTGTTCTAAGATAAGATAAAATAGAAATGGTTTTATTGTACTTTACGCCCACTAGGGACAGGGCACAGAAACAAATGATCACATTGTACATTATGGCAGTTAAACATATCATACAGTAATGATAATAAGGAGACATGTTTTTATTCTGTTGGAACACGAAGCGCATTTTCAGTTTTACTCTATTTCACCTCCTTCAGAATATGTCAGTATTAAGGTGGCATTACCGTAAGTTATTGGCGGTTTAATGTGAAGTTACAGTTTAAAACGGCGGTTACCTTCATTTTAAACCAATGCAACATTTGTTAATGTTCTTTATGTTATTCTATTCCCGAAATCAATTACACTTTACATTGCTTAGTGCCATGTCAAATTCCATGCTCACATCACAAGCCTGTGAAAGCGAAAGGTTTTATATTTCTTACCTCATCACACTTCATATATGTTATATTAATACATACTTCATACTGTTACAGATAAATAGTATGGATTTTCATTTATACTACTGTATATTTATATTGCTTTACTGTTGTACATTTTATATCACTACGAAATGGTAGTGACCGCACAAGAGCAAATCTACCTTTTTTTTTATAGTATGTTAAATATTATCATGTTAACTTTCACTTTGTATTTTAACTTTTAATACAAATTAAACATTCCAAATACAAGTTACATATTGTATGACATTTCTGTTTCCTGCAAGTTACAAAACATTGCAATCAACGTAACATCGGCCGTTTTTAATTATTTATCGAGTTTAATATCATCGTACAGTTGCTCTTACAGTTAAAAACACACTGTACATGCCTATGCTTGTTTCTTGATGTTCGAGGCAGAATGTCAGATTCATTCATCCTTTCACCTGTCACTGCTTTTAGCGTTGTTCATTATTCATTGTGCTTAATATCATTTTACATTTTATACTAATCTGCGAAATTCCGAACATTCCTCATTGTATTCAATTGAATGGAGAAACCATGAATTTTTCTGAGCAGTTGTGTAACAATATCGACCGTACAGCTGATGCAATGGCTGTTGTCATGTATCGTATACATAAACTATTATACATAAAAAGTAGACATTTGGACACACATTTGGACACACACACACACACACACACACACACACACACACACACACACACACACAACAAATGTTTTCCATCAATTCCAGATTTTACTAATGGCCAGTTGTCCTTAACCAGACTTTCGCGTACATGGTTGTTTTCAAACAGCGAACGAAAGAAGACAACCGGAGACACTAAGACAGGAGTGAGTATACAATTTCCACAAAGAAAGATAACTCTAATTAAGGACTAAAATATAAATGCGGAAAATTAGGATTGCAAGGGCTGAATTCGGAACCGAGAAAAAAGCATTGCCCTGCTTGGTTAAAAATGACCAGCACTACTATGAGAAACATTTATTTTTATTTTTGGCCTTATTCATGACATAAATGTGTATATGAAGCTCCCTAACAAAAGGTCGTAAAGCTGCTGTGTATACTTTGATCAACATGAAACTGTCTTACAGAGAATGACTCGCGCGGTGACCATGATGGTAATCTACCCCGTCCCCGGGGACCATTCTCTTGTGAGATATCGTGTCTCAGTTTTATCGGTGTAGCACTTCAAAGACATTGGCCGTTAAAATTTAACATTCAAATTCAACGATCATTAACTACATGGCAATAAAAACCCTATAAATAAATCATAACAACGTCAAACTTGCTTCTCCGGTAGGAGAAAACTGTTGGCTCTACCTCTTATCAGTTGCTCTTTTCCTTTCGCTGGGAGTGCAGCGTTGTAGTTAACAAAGAACAAACATATTTTAAGCATATCTGATATTTTTATTTATTTAAGAAACAAGATAAACATACGACAGTAGCAAAATAATATTCTAGAACAATTTGTCATAAATTTCTTATAGGCAGTAATCTTCAAGTCATGTAAATATAAAACGTCAACGCCAGAGAACAATCAGTCTCGATTATCTGCGAAAAGAGCTTCCATTGGGCGTAAAAGGTAAATTAGCAATGAAAATGATATGAATAAATTAAACAGACGCAGTAACTGTATGAAAGTTTCAGTGGTAACGTTTTGTTCCTACAAACATACACTCGAATTTTTTCGCCATCATTGGTACTACTGCTAAATGCCTAAAATATTCATTATTGATAAGGTATTCATAGGACTAGTAGAAATAAACCATTTGGAAAGTAAGCCTGCATATATCTTTATTTGAACTAGTGACTCAAAGCATAATCTATATGGCTAAATATGCTTCATCATGCTAACAGATGACTCGCAGTCTAAGCTAAAAGGGGATATCAACAATAATATTACTCTCGCATGTAAGTCTTAATAGCACTGCCATTCAAACATATTTTAAGCAAAAAGGGGATATCAACAATAATATTACTCTCGCATGTAAATCTTAATATCACTGCCATTCAAACATATTATAAGCATAAAGGGGATACCAACATTAATATTTCTTGTACATGTAAATCTTAAAATCACTGCCAATTAAACGCCTGCCATTTAAAGTTAATATCCAATCATGGCTATCTCCTCAATACATTAAAAAACCATTTTGATCTGAATACTAAGTATAATCGACTCCTGTTCGGGATATTCTCAATACTTTTATTGTTAGAAACAACGCCACATGAACAGCACATATATCATTTTGAACAATAGTAGAATTATACCAGCAGAAATGAATATTCATATTCAAACGTAAATGAAATTGCAAAAAAAAATTGGAAAAAAGGTTAAATAAAACATTGACAGCTCTCCGAAATGATAATGCTTGAAATTATGATCACTTCTGAAGTATGTCCATATCCCCATCTAAATAAGATAAAGAGTGTACTATTTTACGGTCGAATTTAGAACTCTGCCGTACGTTTAACATAGGTCGTCAGTAACTAGCCATCTCCCGACGCGTGTTGTATTCAAATTGCTTACACAATTACTGTAAATTTGCAAAGCAAGTGGAGACAACATTCTGGACCAGCTTTTGAACATCCACCTTGCGGGACACAAGTAACTCGCTGGCGCCATAAAGAGTCAATAAAAATTGTTTGAAGCTCATAATGAAATATATATTCATGTCGAGCAGAAATAACCAGATTAGCATTTACACGTTTTTCTCCGCTTTGTTCGGACAAATTAATATGCAAATGAGCTCTTGATAATACATTAATCGGGATAACTATATAACACTCGCTATTTTCGGTTACAACAAGTCAACAAGTGACATTTGTAAATTACCAGTTTGGCAAATTGTAAATTTCCAAAAGTGTTACTGTTATATATCACACACAAAAAAACAGGTAACAATTACTAATTATTGATGTTATTTTCCTATAGTTCCATGCGAGGCAGAACGTATCCCGTGTTCATTATTAACGTTTTATGTTCAGTTGAACAATTTTTAGCAAAATACATAAAACCCAAGATATGATAAAGTAACTGATGTATTGAAATCAACAAGCGAAGACACTGAAATCTATTCTAGTCGCATATTAAGAATTGATTCACCACAAAGCATACGCACGTATTGTTATCTTTTCATTTCAAACCAAAAACGCATCTTGTTTAAAAAAATTATCATGATAAAAGATTGACACTTCATTGTGACAATATTTTTAAATGTAATCCTATATGTATTTCTCTTAATTAAAATTATTACATTGACATAGTTTGTGTAATATTTCCATATTTTGTCGATTACAGTTTCATAGGGCATTTTTAGTGTTTACTTTAATCCATTTCTATACAGTCTTAAAACAGAAATTTGCTTAAATTAATGACTAACTTATTAATCCTGGTGCTCATAAAATAAAAACCACACTAATATATAAATCCCCAAATATAACTGTAAAAGTAATACTAAGCTAAATTATAAAAGGTATCAACAAAACTGAAAGTGAAATTGGTGGGATTTCATATAGGTTTCTTACAGAAAAATATAGTTCCAACATTAATAGCATGAATCGACTATTTATATCTCCGGTCATGTTACCCGTTATAACGCGATCTCGGGGTACTGACCTTGAAATGAGCTCCAGCTGAAAACAAAGCGAAGCTATAGCTTCCATATTTACATGACTGGCCTCTAGCTCACTAAACTCCCTTGTGTAGAGCTCATCACAAAATAAATATCCTCATTGTGAATTCCAAATGCCACAGGCAAAACCCATCTCCAGTGTGCTTTGAGAAATCCATGTGTCACATTTGCCGTTACGGGCAGACGACATGAAAAACAACATGGCCACCGCTCCATGATAGCGCGATCGCCATTTTCAATGGCTCGTTGGAGCGAAGTGAACTGTCTAGAGTTCCCTCTGTCAAAGCTTCGGCCGAGCGTTATTTCCATCCCGACTGCAGTCATTTGGATCGTCAATATATTCGACGTTTATGTGAGTACGGGGCTCAGGCTTCCATAAAAATACGACTGTACTTGGACACACTTCTGAGCATGGCTTTGAATTGTGAAATTGAGAAACCTATTGATAGCACGTGATAGAAATCTAAACAGCAGCGGTTTCAAGGCACCCCATCCATGAGCCAGAGCCTAATTAGCCTAGAAAGAGGCGGGCCTAGCTCATACCACCCACCGTAACATGTGAATAAGTAAACACTGCGCGCTTTAGAGAGGAGAAAGTTGGTTGAATTGAAACTGCCTGCGTAAATTAAACCCGCTACTTCATTAAAAGACTCAGAAACCGGATCAAGGCGTCTCCCTGGATTCTAAAATAGTTTCTACCGGCCGCAGCAATATTTTGTTTATAGTGGGGACCTAGAAACCGTTTCATACCACATTGCATAGGTATGTCCCCAGGGGGTAGAGCTGAACCAATCAGAAGGCTGTTTGCAAGGTGCTTGATAGACAAGCCTGTTCTAACAATAACCGAATGTCTTGTTCAGTTCGGCAAGCCGAGGCAGGCCCGATATCCAGTACTGCAGTAACCTCGTACACAGCAGACGTGTGCTGTTACAACCGCAACCATTGCAGATTTTGTAATTTTACCGAGGTAGGAATATCTTCCTGGGTGGGGCAAACCCTTCTACCCCCGGGATTGTGTTGTCACGAGGGTTAACCTCTCGTTGGAACGTGTTTCTAGGCCTTATCGCCCGTCAAGCATTTAAACTACGCAGTTGGGAATAAACGAGGATAGTTTGCCGGCATCTCATTATTCCTACAGCAACGTACGAATTTTCCCCAAAACGACAACCACCAAACCTTTGTGATCTTGGATTAAAGTTACATGGAAAATTGTTTACATTTCAATCTGTCGAGCCGATTTGGATATATTTTGTCTTATTTCTGGGCTAAAATCTGTCGCCGATCAGCTGAGCGGCCGGGAATCTAAGGACCGGCTTCGCTCCACTCGTGAGTAGAGAATCATTTGAGATATTTAGCCCTTAACCACATCTTTTATCTTCATCCATTGTCATTGACATCTTATTGACAAATGCATATTTACATTTTTCATTTCTGACATTTTTATGTAAACAAAAAACTTAATGCGCAGTAAACAAACCAGATGCATTTATCACAATTCTATAACGGCGAAATGTCTACTTTGAAGTATTTAAAACATATATCGCATGTTTACTGTTCAGCTTGAAAAAAAGATAATACTTAATTTATCAAAATAGAATTACTTTATCCCGACAAGGCGCCACACATTCAGATAGTGTCATACCGTCATACTGTCATACCGTCATACCCAACAGGGCATTTCACAACAAGGACAAAAGCAGGTTTGGCCAAAGTATTTTATATAAGGGAGACTTTTCAAATCTATGAATTAACATATCTGCATAATTAAAACTTCACTTAAAAATAGGACCCTAGTTGTACGATTTAAAAAAAAAAGAACATGTTGTGTCACTTTTTGAAAAAATATAATCTCAACCGAAAAATCATCAAAGTGCAATTCCTTTAAAAGATATCTGTTATATCCTATGCCAACGTCCCTGTTTCAATCAAAGAAACACACACACATAATGATTTGTAACCACACGCAACACGTTAGAACTCCTCCATTGTGATCTTCCTGCCTCAGATCGCGTGTCGGTCTTTTGCAATATTTTCATATTTACAACAAAAACAACACTTTTCCACATGTATCAGATCTGTTTAAACGCGGTCCTATAGCCGTTCTTATCGAAACGGAAATCACCGGTTTCAAGCTTGCAATCACCTCCACGCAGAACAAACGCTTTCCACACATATTTCAGTCCATCGCCATTTCAGGCCAGAAGTACAATTTAACGATTGTAATTGCAAATGTCTATTTAATGAAATGACAGTTCGGTTTTATATAATGTAGGCGATATACTTGATCTTGAAGTAGTTGGAATGTATTTATTCGCTGGTTTACGATTTTTAACTACGATTACCATTTTTTATACACTCAACTCGATCCCAACGTGTTTTCAAAATTTGATATGCTCTAATGTATGTATTGTGTATGTCATCATGTCACGAACCTAATGCAAACATATTTGTATGATGGTATGTAGGAATTACCAAGACTAAATATGTTGGATGCAGAAAGTAAAGTACGGCAGGGCCCCAGCACTCGGCGAGGATGGGCGCTAGTGGATTTACTAAACAACTGGCGCCAGGGCCGTTGCCGTATTTGAAATACTACACTCAAATCTAGTTTTGAATCCTCCGATGTCTTTCGTATAATATAGTGGGCAATTTAACAGATGACGTCATCGTATCCTGGTGGGGGTTTATGAAACTACGCTACACAACGCTAAACCTTCCTCCTTAATTTGTACCAATACATCTTAACTGGTATTTCTTTGATGGGTTGTACCAATACATCTGATCTCGGTTCAGTTTGCCTGGCTTGTTAGTTCTCCGTGTGCCAGTAACAGACCAACTATATCCGCAGCACTTTCATTGCAAGGAAATCACTAATTAGCTATACTGTACTCGGCTCTGGCAGATTCGGTTCTAGAAAGTCCAATATTTAATGTTGTGTATATTAGTTATTAATGGTTAAAATGATATGTAGATATATTAGTTTTATACGTCAACTATTTTGGTGTATTATTTCTCATTATATTCTATATCAAATTATGTGTTTTTCAATTCAGTTTTATATAGGTACATTGATGTGTAGTATAAGAAGTTAACTATGGGCATAATATGGTACAATGTGTTAAAATAGGACATCCGAAAAAATACCTGTCACCACCCTAATCTCTGAAATGTGTGTCAAAGAGAAATTATTTTTGCGTCTAATCCCGTCTGGGAGATAGCAGAAAGCAATGATCATCTCGGTGTTAAAAGCAGGACTTAGCTCAAGCCATCATGTTGAACAAATAACCCGTTTTACCTCACAGACTGGTTCTCTTAATCGAAAGCAATTTCGTCTCAAAAGTAGTTCGATTTAATTTACATCTGAGATACAGATAAACAGTTGGCAATGCATGTTTATGGCTGAACACAACTTGTATCATTTGAAGTTAGATGATTCTTGTCTTTGCATGTAATTAAAGTAGTGATATTATGTCTTTACTTTTGGAGCTCACAAAAACACAAGATGTATGTATACAATAACGTGGACCGATTCGGGAGTTGGTTTTAGTTGCGTTTGAAAGAAGTGTTATATGGTAGAAGTTAAATCTGGTTCATCGGAATGCTTTGTTTAGGACATGTGAAGCGTGGTGTATTTAGTGCGGGCAGGTGACATGCATATTGCAGTGTCTCATGACATATAGCGTTGTCACATGACATCTCTCTGTCTCTCTCTGTGACATGACAACATAAACCGTTACACCTACCTACCATCCCTACCACACAACCCCTTTCTCTACCCACTACTAGCACAGTGCTGGCAATGGCCGGGACGTTCAAGTAGAGAGAGAAAAAATGGCAATCACAAACAACGGAATACTTCCTCTAAAGGTGCTTCGGTCAACACGGAAATTACGCTGTAGATCCAGTTTTATTTAAAATGTCACTGGCAACGATAAAGATTGAATATTAGGCCTCTGGTAGTCTTGTGTGTCAGATTGTTAATTTCATAAACTGAGAATTAATGTTGAGAAGTCTATATTCGCTATTGAACCCCGTTATTCTAACCGTTGTATGGACGGTTTTCTTCTTTGAACTGTAAGCACTGACAAGATTGTGGACGGGCGTGATATAAAACTGCATTTGTGCTCTGAAGTAATCACTTTCCGCCTCACAACTGTTACTGTTATACAACAGTTATAATCTCGTGCTTTGTCTTCAATGCCAGGACACTATTCCTAATAACTGTTATGGATAGATTGAGAACTGTATTAAATTCCTAAATCGTGACGTAAACGTCGGAAATCAAAACAGGTTTTAGGTTACATCGGTTCAAAAGAAGTAGATAGAATTCAGTGACATAATGTCAATATTAAACAAAAAGTCAGTGTTTTGTTAACATTACTGATATAGAGTAGAATGACGAACTAGAATAACCATTTCTCGGCCATAAACAAATATAAGTTAATGTGCAGCAATTTACATGTATTGCCAACTGTTCATAAAAAAATAGTCCTATTTCTGTTCTCAACATTCAACGTCTGTAATTGTCTTCCATGAAACGAGAGGCTGAGTGCTGGCAGTATGAAGTGAACCTACACTGGCAATGTATTCCAATGCTATCGTTTATAAGGATTTCGCGATTATCATTACGTTCATATTTTATACGCAATTTCTACTCGACTGGTCGTTAAGTGCTATCTCAATATAAAGCTAAGAAGACGTAATTTGGTTTACGCCCGTGATTCAATACATTTCTCATCAACCAACTCCCAGAAAGTGCCGCCTTGGCTCCGAATAAAAGCTATACGGTCATTGTAGGCAGAATACCAACTCTTTCAAAATAGCTTGTTGATTCCAACATAAAACTTCGCTGAATTAATGAACACTCATTGGTATGAAGTCGAAAAGAAATTATTATTACAAAAATATGAAAATATTGAGCTGATATGTGAAAAGCCGTTGAGGCGCTTGGTACGATGCAATACAAACGAGTCCATATTGAGAAGGCCATAAGGCCGGCGCCAGGCCAAAGACAGGGAAAGGTTATATCACTGAGCCCACTACATTCCTTTCAAAACAAGGCCTTTATGGTGCGGAGGTATTTTCAACGCACGTCCATTTCACCATTTGTCCCACATTTGCCTAATTCATACCGGGTCGTTTCACTGATAGAACCTATTGTCTTCATCTAATCCTTCTTTCTATCCCTTACAGCAGAGCCCCAAAGCTGGCTCAGGGTAAATGTCGTCCAACCCCCACCCTCGGAGTTTAGGTGTGTCAGGGTAGATGGAGGGTCGAGTGGATTTCCCTCTGGAGAGGGGCCGACTCCTTGCCCCTGCCCTACCCTCCGGCACACTCGGGCCTCTGGGTCCGGCCTACGCGGATAACTCCACCCTCGGGAGACCCACAGTCTCGGATATTACCAGGACTGGAACCCCATCGACGTTGTCGGCTTTAGGGCACTACGCCAACCGTTACATGCCTCCCTCCATGTCCGTTCACTCGCAAGGTAAGCTCTTCTTTATTTATTGGTGAGACTTAAGTCCATTTTCCTGTAAATTGGAACATAGTTAATTGGTGTGTGCAGAATTCCTGTTGAGCCGGCGGTGAACGGGTTTTCTTCGCGATGTTTAACAATCCTAGTACCGGTTAGATATAGCGTCGAGGTAACGCGCCTGACAATACCCAGTTATTTAGACTTGCGGATTATTAATCTCATTTTGGTGATTCATTTCACTGTCTGTGTTATCAAAACTTGGTTTTCATATAGTCACATAGAAAACATATTAATAACACACATGTTTTGTTCATAATGGTTAAACAAATATCGGTTTTTTTCTGCATGATTGATAGATTGTGTTTGCCGTTGCGACAAAAATATATTTTGATAAGAATATCGGATGAAAAACAGTGTCAAGCCGTTTCTAAGGGCTTTAGGACATATTATGATATGTACCATGGCAAAGGTTCCTTGATTGAGACTATTAGACACGGTGCTTAAAGTATGCATGAAATAACATTATTGATTGAGCAGATAAGAAGTGGGTTGAGTCATATTTCGTTAAAAATCAATGGAGAGTAAGTTTAGGCTCTCTGAAGGTGTTATGTACAATAAGTATAGATATTCAGCTATATGTATAAATCACAGTATTTTACACATACGCTGCTCAAACAATGTAAATCAAAACTGGTATTCTAATCAATAACAACACAGACATATTAACAATATATACACAAATGTGTTGGTGATCGACGGGAACTTAACGAATTCAGAACACTATTTTGGACAATGTTAATATTTATACGTTTCACGAAATAAATATTCGTTTATTTGAAGTAAGTATGGTTAAAATATTTAAAATTTGACATATCAATTTGATGATTGTTCAGTCAGTGTGTGTGTGTGTGTGTGTGTGTGTGTGTGTGTGTGTGTGTGTGTGTGTGTGTGTGTGTGTGTGTGTGTGATGTAAGCTACACTACGGAACAGTACAGTGTGTTACAGGGGCCCTGTGTTGGCGGGGGTTTCTACGAGTGCACATTAAACAGGAAAACGCTGCGTCTAAAAATAAATGTGTTCCTGATAAACTTGATTTCTAAATTGCTGTGATAATTTTCTGTAAAAATGTCCATATACATGTGACACAAATTAAGATTATACACCACAGTGCCGTATTTAACATACTGAAGCCATCACCAGCCAGCCGATCAGTTCCATGTTCACACTGGGAGCCACAGACTCGCTATTTTCCCCAGCCACACAGTCTTCGAAGGTGTATTTGCACGGACCTGTTATAAATTTTCGTTATCACGTAAGGAAGGCTAGAATTTCCTGCTAGTGGAGAGAAAATGAGAGAAGCATATTTTCCTCGAAGTCTCCGGTAACAGTGAAAATATCTCAGCCCATCCCGGCTTAAGCTTGAAGAGGAACAGTCAATCTCGACCTTGTGCGAACCCGTCTCTTTCCTTACTCCGACTCAAGCTGTGAATGATCACCTAAATTATCATTGTTATTCCCCCTTTCTTATTAGTTTAGTGAGCCGGTCAGCCGGATGACCTTGTCCACGTCTTTGGCTGGTTGCCAAGGTTTCCACACACAGCCTCCATTTCGGCTGGCCGATCGGACAAACTGGTCAGTTACGTATTGGATTATGTGAAAGCTTCGCACATCCCGACCGACCACATTCGAGATCCGCTTGCTCGTAGAAGAAGGCTCCGAATGGAATGGAAACACAGGCATTTTAGATTAGAGCTTGACGAGACATGAGTTTTTGTTGTGCCGACGAAAAAAGTCGGTGAAAAAATGATGTTACTTTGTTTGGTGTGTGATATCGATTAGTTATTTGTAGCTATCGATCTCACAAGAACCTCGGACCAGCGAGGGCCGCTCATTGGCAGTGAGCTTCATACCGCAGGACAGAGTGGGAGATCTCATGACCCCGCCGAGGCATGAGGGGGCGTATAATGACAAATTACGATTTATGCTTTATATCTCTTTTGATGTGTACAAAAATACTTCATTTTGCTTTACATGATAAGAGATATTTTGAATGAAACCTGTCAAAAATATATTTCCCTTCATTCACTCAAAATTGTGAAGCTTTAACGATATTCCATAATCCTACATGAAGATTATAACCTGACATTGACAGACATAACGTGATGTAAATATGATTTAAAAACTCAATAAAATTGTAGTGAACAAAATATACGTCCTTTAATATTCTGTCAGATGTGAAAAGAAGTACAGCACATCCCAACCTCAACCCCAACCCCAACCCCAACCCCAACCTATTGCAGGGTAAGGTACAGCGAGATCTCGTTATTCCGGACAGTACAGTTCCAAATCAAATTTCCCGGATTAACATATGTCCGTATAACAGAGTCATGGACACGGTGTATCTTTGAAAACTACCCAAAATAAGGTAAAGAAAATCCGAGTTTTCCATATGACTATTTAATATGTCATGACCAGATTAACTATAGTCGTATGAAACAAATCGGATTTTCTTAACTTATTTTTAGTAGTATATGAAGATATTCCTAGTGAGATCTACCGGAACAAGGAATTTCCAGAATAATCCGGATTACTGAGGTTTCACTTTAGCTAATAAGCTATAATTTAACTATAAAAAATATATGTTCGAAATCGTCTTTGTTGCGGCCTACTATAAGTAATACTCTAAATCATCTATGTAGTCACGTGTTATATAGACGTAGTGCTGGATTATCAGCGTATAGGTGATATTGTAGTCGGGCTGAGATAGGGCGGGTCTCCCAAGTCTACCCCACCTATAGATCTCACCCCATGTGCCCCATTGATTCATGGTACCATTTAATACCCACACTGCACATGATGGCACCTTGTGGACCCAGCACAGACATATTACTGTCGATTCCAATAGGTAAATGGACTATTCGGAACCACCCTTGCAATTTTTTTTATTTTCTGTCTAAATGGAACCCGCTGGATGTGTAACATTTGATAAAGTTTGTTTGTTATTGTGTGGAGCGGTGTTGTATATGTGTTTTCCTGCAATGTAGGTGTTGAACGTGAAGACAAATGACCATATAATGTTCGTAGAACTATTCTAATTGGTCCTGTCCGAGTCCAGCACTGACTAGTAATAAACACGCTCTTGCTTTGCGGTGTTGATCAGAAGAGAAAATAACATGGCAATTCCGTGCACAAGGAGTTATTCAAACAAGCGGGATTGCGCACAAAAGCTTTGGGGACAAAGGGCATAATTCTTGGTAACCTTCGCTCATACAAATCTAATGATTTTTATCCTTAGAAGGTATGAACTTGAGAAATTTAATTGCTGTGGTTTAAGCGTTTTTCCCAACAATTATATTTGGCAAGCGGCAGTTGAAAGCCCTGTCGTGCATAACCCTAGTCGCGGCCATTCGGTAGCCGGTCTCGTCTTACAACAGTACTTTGAAGCAAGAGTTCACACGTTCGAACGGGGGGATTAACATTTTAGCTGATTTTACTCTTACCCTGAGTCTAAAGATTACTCGTGTCTCGGAGCGTGCAGCCAGTGGTCACGTGATTACCGAGGGCTTTACCCCCAGATGTAGCTGACAGGGGGTCCGGAGGGGGCACGGCAGGGGTCAGGTTGTGACACTGGTCATCTCGCCAAAGAGCACGGTTCGCCGGAGCTGATTAGAAACATCCATTGACGGTTTCTTTTTTATTAAATTAATTCTAAAAACGATTTTGTTGCTTTAACACGTGAGTTAGTGAACTGCATGGCATATTTGTACATCGTGGGATGGTGTTTATTTGTAAGTATAAAAAAAAGAACGAATGGTCTGATTGACGTGTGGTGTAAATGTTGTAGCTGGGCTTGTAATATCCTCTTTCATTATGTCTTACTGTAAATATAACAGCATCTTGCTATATTACCGCACATAACTAGCTGTGCCATACACCGTAACCCCCGCAGCCTGGTTAGTCATCTCTGTGAAAGTATGCATCAGTATTTAATAAGCCCGTTCCTTAGCGCTATGAGAGACAATAATCTCACTTTCAAATTTCAGCATTTTGATAGAAATTTACTTTTCACGGAGTTCAATTTCAGCAGGTGTATGCTAAAGTATTGTCTCTCTTGGTTGTTTGCCATATTGTCAAGAATTAGAATGTTACATCACATGAGGCACCCTGTTTCAATGTTACAGCGAGTGTATGCGTACAGTGCAGTGGTATTCATATTCTCGGCGTTGTTTATATTTAACTGAAAATAACATTTCCACAAAATCCATGTCTAAAACTGTTGATAGAATGCCCTGACTATTGGTCTTTAGAGATTCTTGTATTTTAACAAGAGAAAAAAACAGGTCATGTCTGTTAACTGCAGTGACTTTGACAAGTTCATGACCAGGTTCCGATGTACTCTTTGATATGTGTAGATCTGTATCAAGTCTTTTTGTACTCTGAAAAATAACTGCTTTGGTGTACCGCAACATGACTGAATACTGGGCTCCCTTTACAGTATGAAAACAAGGAAATGGATATAGACCCAGTTGTGTAGACGTTTTCGTCTAGACAGAGGGTCAGGGTCGCGCATGGTTGTGCATCAACTAACCCACCCTGGTCAGGATCCCCTCCCCCTCCCCCTCCCCCTCCCCCTCCCACACCCGAGTGTGGTCGAGACACCTCCCATCCCACCCTCAGTCTCCTGCTTATTTTGCCGGAGGCTCCAGGATTAACGATGGACAGTACGTGTTAAAACCCGATTTGGAATCAGTCTGAGAAGCTCCATCATTAGTCTTCATTATATCCCCATTGTATTCCCCCCAGCTACAACGCTAGGAGGAAGGTGAGGGGGCACAGGTTAGGCACGTTGTCATGGGTGTCGCATGCCAACACCGACTACGTTACAGGTGTACTCTTCCTCCATCACTACGATTGATCAAACAGGCGTGTAATGTGTTGAAAATATGAAATTTTCTTGTATTATTTTTTTAAAATATTTCATATTGAAATCTTAGTTCTCTTGGTGGAATGCT